AAGTGCCATACGGTGCTCGCAACTGCATTAGGACATATGAGCGCGCGGGACACTTCAAACATTTTCAGTTGGCAGAAAATTTTGAATTTTGCCGGGGTGGCGGCCGAAGCCTACTCTTATCGATTTTAGACACCCCCCCCCCTAAGGGATCTTAAACGTGCGCAACTTGCACACAGGACTTCAGAGTCTTTTCGCCCTTGTTCGAGAAGGCTAGGTGTAGATCTTTCTGACCAGAAGATCAGGGGTGTGTCTGAAAGACAGTAGTAAGAATGAGCCAAGGAGAAGCAATAGAAAGGCTGCAGAAAAAGTCAGGAGCCCAGAGGAGGGTGTAAAGGAGGTGAGGGGGTGGGGGCTGAAAATGGAGACGATATCAGACGACAGAACAATTCTATAGAGCAGGAAAGGATGTGGACGGAGGTGAAAGTAGACAATTTTAGAGAAGAAAAGTTTTCCTTCGCTACCCTGATTCGAAATCGGGACCTTAGAATGAGAAACGAACACCTTAACGAGAGCCCCCTTGAGTAACCTCTTTGGTTGCAACTTCCTGAAAAGATTACCTTCTGCACGAATATCCTATCGTCTGGAGGCCTCGAATTAAGGATTATGAGGCCATGATACGACCATTAGACGTCGTACGCAGAATACATGAGTTCAATTCCTACTTGGAGAAGTTGTTTTATCAAGCCTGAGCATCTCGATTCGTCCTTTGAGATTCCCTTCAACACTGCGTTGGTCTTGCCTGGCTGTGTCAAAGAAATACGCTTCAACAATCATGTAAATAAAATTGTTTCGTCGACCTCGAGGAGGATTTAGAACTAAAGTAGCTTATATCATTTTACTAATAATAATAGACAGCATTTGTATAGCGCAAACCCCTTTCAAAAGCAAGCTCTATGCGTTTCACAATCTATACAAATACCCCAGAAGATCTGAGAGCATTCTGAAACAAACTCAAAGCTAAATCACTAACCTACTGACAAGATCTTTTGCTGTCTATGACTGGGTACCTATTTCCACCTGGGTGAAGTAAGGAAAATTCGTGTAAAGTGCCTTTCCCAAGGACACAACGTCGGGCCCCCGGCTCGAACCCCCGACCCCACAACCTCACGATTACGAGCCCTGTGGCCTAAAAAATCTAATCCTTGTGTAATGGGTGGCACTTTCCTTGTTCATGAGTATCTCTTTTACTCGAATTTCGATTTTAGATCCGTCACAAAAATCCTATATACACATATA